TCCTTTCTCCCTTTCCTGTGTGTGTATCCACCAATAAAACACTTCTGGTGTCCGTGGACAAAACTATCTGTCTGTCGCTGCTCAGAGCCACCACCACTCCCGGGTCCTCCCATCTTTTCCCAAGAGACTTCAGCCTTGCCTTGTCTCGGTTTGGGAGATGAGAATCCTACCCTGAGACAAGGTTTCGAGGATGGGTGTCCAGGCACCCCGAGGTGGTCTCAGTGGGATGTTTATAACATGCAGATTTGATCCCTGACCTTCCCGAGTTCCCGGACTGCCCCCACCCACTCTATTCCGTCTGCCCCTGTCGCCCACTGTGTCCCCTGCCCTGAGCCCCCCTAGTAATACTTCCAGTCCCAAGACTTGGCTGGGTGAAATGGAGGCAAGGCTGGAGAGGGTCCCTTCTAAGCCTCTGGATCTCACCCTCACTGTGGACAAGAAGTCAGACCTGTCCCTGAAGTCAGTGCCCACAGGTTAAGTGCCCAGTGTGGGGATCATTAAAATGTGGACAGCTTTCAAAGACTGAGTGGTGAGGCCGGTGGGTGGGGTTCTGTATACCCATCCCAGGAGGCTGCACTCTCTTCATTTTCCATCAGGTGGCACCCAATAGTATGCTTTCGATTCTGTGCTCCCTACTCAAAAATAAAAAATAAAATAGAAATAGTAATAAAAAAAAATAAAATTCCGGGACACCTAGGGGGCTCAGTCAGTTAAGCCTCTGACTCTTGGCTTCGGCTCAGATCACGATCTCACGGTGTGTGAGTTTGAGCCCCTCATTGGGTTCTGTGCTGACAGCGTGGAGCCTGCTTGAGATTCTCTCTCTGTCCCTGTCTCTCTGCCCCTCTTCTATGGTCTCTCTCTCTCTCTCAAAATAAATAAAATAAACTTTTAAAAAATAAATAAAATCCCTCTTGGCTTCCAGGGGTTCCACCCCATGTTTTCAGGCTCTGAGCCTGGGGACTCAGAAGGGCTGTGTCACATGTTGTGTGCACATGTGTGGTTTTACATGTACAGCTTGGGGTGACCTGGGCCATGAGAGGTCAGTGAGCAGGCTACCGGCTTCTGGAAACACCTTTGCATCCAGACTCCAGCTCTGCACGTGCTGGCTCTGTGCAGGAGGATACAGGGAGGGTTGTGTGGAACTGTCTTCTGCCAGTCTTTGTAAAGACACCATGGTGACGTCAGTCAGGGCCACTGTCACCACCAGAGGGTCACTGAATCTCTCAGGAGCTCAGCCACTGGTTGAAAGCATCATGGGAATTGTGGCCTAGAGAATGTGGATTCACCTAATGGAGAACAGAGAACAAGGAACATCCAATGGAGAACAGACCACATGTGCATCCAACGTAGAATAAAGAGTGAGGAGTGTCTGTTTCATTTTCATTTTTAAATGTTTTGTTTATTTTTGAGAGAGACAGAGTGTGAGTGGGGGAGGGGCAGAGAGAGAGGGAGACACAGAATCTGAAGCAGGCTCCAGGCTCCGAGCTGTCAGCACAGAGTCCGATGTGGGGTTCAGCCCCACAAGCCCTGAGACCGTGACCTGAGCCGAAGTTGGACGCTCAACCGACTGAGCCACCGAGGCGCCCCAGTAGTGCCTGTTTTA